TTTTTTTTTATTCTTTATTTTCTGTGCATTGAGACATGTGACAAAGCATAACATACTTGAGCTGCCTTTTCAACATAGGCATATTAGTAAATAACAATTGTTTTGCCAAGGGTCTGGATCAGTCTATACAATTTACACTTATAACATATCAGGAGCATAGGATTGGCAGCAAGTATATAGTATGAGTCATTTTGTTCTATGGTCGGAGGGATTAGCTTGCGTCCTAGTAGTCAGGAAGAACTTGTGGTCATGTTTCTGCACTTTTTCTGGTTTTCTAATGTGTCGAGTGTGCCCATGCGGTAGGTTCCCATAGGGTGAACTGGTTGTGAGTGATTGTGTCTATGTTGCTTGGGTCCTGTGAGTGGTTAAGTGGCACTCCTCTCTGTGGTTTGAGGGAGGGTGTTGGCGATTGTAAAGTGCTGTTGTTCGTCGTTGGTGAAAATTGTATATGTGCGTCTGTCTGTGCCTGAGTGTGGGTTTTGTGTCGCGCTTGCTATGCTTGGGTTAGTAGGTAGTGTTGGCCCTTAACCTAAGAGGGTCGCGGGGGTTGGGAGATCGTCTCCAACTTTGTATGGGGAGTTAATAGTAAAATATCATATTTTGGTAGAGCAATAGGGTGAGATGAGAGAAGAGGAGAGAATATCAGAGCATGGAAATAAAATTAAGAGGTAAACAGTTTAAGGTGTTCAGGTCTCTGCCTCCGGTCTCTTGTTGCTCCTAGGGACGTATGGTACTATTCTGTCCGGGTCCCATGAGTGGGTGGCTTCCGTTGGTCCTGGTGTTGGGGCGTTCTGAGTTAGTCCCAATTTTTGGAGAAGCGCTGGGGCCTCCGAGAGTGAGGTGAGTTTTAGAACCTCTTCTCCGCTGAATACCGCCAGGGTTCTTGGCAACAGCCATCTGTATTCTACGTTCCCCTTCTGCAGTTGTTCCGTTATGTTGCTCAAGGACTTTCTCCAGAGTAGGGTGCTCCGCGTGATATCTTGGAAGAAGGTAAGTTGTGAGGCCTCGAAGGCCAAGGGTGTCTTGTCTCTCACTGCTGCTAGTATGCGGCGTTTGTCTGTCATGGAATGGCAGCGGACGATGACGTCCCTTGGGGCCGTTGTGGGTGCCCTTTTTGCTTTGTTAATGCGGAAGTGGCTGTCAAATTCCAGCTTTTTGGCTTGTGTATGTGGCAGTATTGTGGCCGTGAGTCTCCTCAGGTACTGTGGTAATTCGGATGGTCCCACTGCATCAGGGATACCCCGAATCTTAGTATGTGTGCGCCTGTTGCGATCTTCCATGGCGTCTAGCGTGTTTTGGAGCGCTGAGTTCGCGGTCTGTAAATGTTTCAGGGCGTCCCCCATGCTTTTCACCTCCTGTCGGAGGTCTAGTATATCTTCTTCAGAGGCCTGTACTCTTGCCATCACCGCCTGCGTTTCTGTGCGGATTAAGTTTATGTCGGTGTCAAACAGCCCCTTCATCTCCTGTAATAGGAGTCTGATGTCCCTTTTAGTGGCTGGGGCTGAGTCATCCCCCTCTGCTTGTGGGCTGCTGGGAGCCTCAGCTCTCATGTCTGTGCTGCTTCCCTGGGACAGCTGCACTGAGTGTGTGGGGCCAGGTTCCTGGTCTTGTTCGGCCGCCATTTTGTGGCCTGCTGTGCGTTGCAGCAGAGTCCCAATATCTTGGGAGTCCCTGGGTGCTGCCTGTTGTGGCTTCTGTGTTCGCCTCCCCATATCGTTGTCGGGTGATTGGTGACCTGCCCGCTGTCCGCACCAGTCCTCCAGGCTCAGGGGGATCCCCACGGGTAGCTGCGATGCCGGTGGGAGAGTGAGGTAGGCCCGGGATTTGCGGACTCGTTTTTTGCCCGATTGTGGGTATAAAAAGGGCATCGGTGGATAGCCCTGTGAGCCCTGGGATTGTGGCTGTGGGTCCCGCGGTTCGATGGCCCCCCCTACCTGAGATGCGCGGCAGATTGTGTCTTGGTGCCGGGGAGCCGTGGATGATGGCGTCCATTCGGCTCCGTGGTTAAGCTCCGCCCCCTTAAATGAACACTTTAAACACCATTCTAAGTATTTAAATCGTTTTTGGTTAGCTTGATTTCTTAGGATTAGCTGGGTGCTTCTTCCCACCGCCATTACTAACACATACCTCTAAAGTTTCACTAATTAGGGGGAAAGTCTCTATTTTGGACTGAAACCATTCTGTGCCTCTTTTCTATGAGCTCCGCACTGTTGATGTGTCTAAGTGCCAAACAGAGCTTCACATCAATAATACTCACAGTTGTTCACAAGCCTGCCCGGGCCACATCCTAACTCAAACCCCTAAAATTAATGTGTCCTTTGTCCATTTGAAATGTTGGCAAGTGTGACCAACACCAGGGAGCTGGAAGCTTTACTAAGCTAAACCATGTATTACATTAGTTGAGAGCAATCGGGTGATGCTCTCAGTCAAAACCATTCAAAAAGTGTTTGGCTTCTTACAATGGTGGGGCATTCAAGGCACCATAAACACTACAATGCACTTGGTTCTAATGCTTGTAGTGTTGTTTAACCCCTTAAGGACACATGACATGTATTCCAGAAGTTTGGTCCTTAAGGGGTTAAGGTTGATAACCCTGTACATGAAACATATGTATAACATTCAAAGAATTACATTACATTCAGGAGCAAATCGTCAGATTTTTACATTCTATTTCTCTTCAAATAAAAAAAAGGCCTGCATAAAAAAAAAAAAAAAATGGTTTTACTTTCAAACAGATGTAATTTACCTTAAATAATTGTATCTCAATCTCTAAATTGAACTTTAATCACATACAGGAGGCTTTTGCAGGGTCTAGCAAGCTATTAACATAGCAGGGGATAAGAAAATCTTAATTAAACAGAACTTGCAATAAAGAAAGCCTAAATAAGGCTCTCTTTACAGGAAGTGTTTATGGAAGGTGTGACTAGGGTTCATAAACAAAGGGATGTAACTCCTAAATGGCAGATGATTGAGCAGTGAGGCTGCAGGGGCATGTTCTATACACCAAAACTGCTTCATTAAGCTAAAGTTGTTCAGGTGACTATAGTGTCCCTTTAACGATCAAATTCAATCACTTATACCCTGAATAAAGCAAGTCCAAGCAACAGAAAATCAGCATTAAACCCTTAAGGACTGAGCCAAATGTACATGTTGTGAACAAAACAAAACCTGGCATTTGTGCTACATGTCTGTCCAACCGTAATTCACCTCTTTCATATTAAATGCACCCACCCTTATTATATATAATTTTATTCAGGGGAAACAGGGCTTTCACTTAATATCAAATATTTAGCTATGAAACATAATTTAATATGAAAAAAATGGGAGAAAATAAGAAATTTTATTTTTTTAGTTCTACGTGACATTTTAACTGTCAATGTCATAATACTGTTTGTTTTTACTGCAATAAAATACACATATTTGTATTCAGCAAAGTCTCACGTGTAAAACAGTAACCCCTATGTACAGGTTTTATGGTGTTTTGGGAAGTCAAATATAGTCAAATATAGCATGTTACATTTGAAATTGAAATTTGCCAGATTGGTTATGTTGCCTTTGAGACTGTATAGTAGCACAGGAATGAAATTTACACCCATAATGGCATTCCATTAGCAATAGTAGACAACCCAAGGTATTGCAAATGGGGTATGGCCAGTCTTTTTTAGTAGTCATTTGGTCACAAACACTGATTTAATCAGTATCAGTCTACATGTAATTTAATATATATATATAAAAATATATATAAAATTATATATATATGAATAGTAAAATACACCTAGACAGTGTGTGTGTGTGTATGTGTGTAATATATATATATATATATATATATATATATATATATATATATATATATATATATATATATATATATATGTATATATTTCTCTCACTCTCTATATATAAATAAAAATAATTGGACAAAATTACATATATATACATATATACATACATATATATGTTTAAATTCTACATATATATTTATGTAATATTTTTACATAATTAAGTCATTTTATTAATTACAAATTAAGGGACCTGCCTGACAACCCAGGCAAAAAGTCCAGAGAATTTGGTTCGGAAGCCCTATATTTTACCATGTAACTTTCCAACTCACCATAAAACCTGTTTATGGGGAGTACTGTTTTACTCGAGAGACTTCGCTCAGCACAAATATTAGTTTTTCAAAACAGTAAAACGAATCACAACAATGATATCGAGAGAACCGAGGTATACAGTAACAATAAAACTAGCTGAGGTTAGGATTACAGAAGTGCACACAGTAATACCAGAAAACACACAATAATAACACACTGATCAGGAACCAAGAGGAAACCACAACAGGGCAACTAATAAAGGGTCTTTAAATAGGCGTCAAGATGACAAAGCAGAATATGATGAATGACAAACAGTGTGGCAGGTAGCAGGACATGTATTCCTGAACCTTTAGTGTTAAAAACACTATATAGCCCCCATGCCCGCCCCCTTTAGTGTAGTAAAATCTTACCTTTATGTATGTAACACTGAAAGGGTTAACATATTGCATGTTACTAAGAATGCTATTCTTGCTGTAATGCCATACATTATGCTGAAAAATGAAATTATTACAATTCTCAAAGTCGTCCTCTCTGCTCACACTGTCGCAGTTAATCTCCCCATCGGCCCATCATGGCACACAGCAGTGCTTGGATAGTGCTGGCTCTGCATGGACTGGCAGGAGAGATCCTCTGAGCCCACTTTTCCCGATCACCGGTCCTTCTGTCTAGGTGTCTTGCCCAGGAACACTTACTGGTGAGGCGGTGGTCTGAACCTGCATTTCCTGGTTTTAAGGCAATGATACCACTGCTCTAACCAACTCATTCATGGCTTTTGCGACCATCATTTCAACATTGCTTTATTTGGTTGAATTCTCTGATTTGATTTAGAAGATATAGGTTTTTCTATCTCAATATCTCAAGGTGGGGTTAATATAGGAAAGCAGAGAGCAGCAAAAGAGACAAGACCGTTCTGTTAATAGAAATTCTTTAACAGCATGGCAGATTAAATAATAGAGACTGAAAATGAGTAAACTTACATGAGGGTATGGGCAGAAACCAGGTGGATAGAAGGGAGGAAAAGTTGAGAGTTTAGAAATATTAAATGTAGGATGAAATCAAGAAAGACTTTAATCTCACAACAGATTAGAAGCTCTAGTAGTATAAAGGGTTTTCTTCCAAAATCCTGATCCCGATCTTAAGTAGTGCTAGGTTTCAGGATATCCTTGCTCAAAGGTGAAATGTAGTTTACTCGGTTGAAATGCAATTATTAATCAATGAACAATGACAATTTCCTGAAAACTTGGACTTTTCCAAATTTTCCTATCTATGAAGCTCAAAAAAGAAAATGTAAAGCGGCTCTTACCAGTTTAGTTTTAAGTGTACAGACAACAATAGACACAAATATTTTTACTGTAATTACATAGGAGCTTGCTCACCCAAAACACTGTGCTGTCTGGATCCACGCAAAGAATAACGCACTGTTATCCTATAAATTCCACCTCTAAATTAAGCTTTATAAAGCACCTGCCGCTATTTCGATGCCACTGCCTTTCAGCTTTCCAAGACACAATTAGAGGCTTAGGAAGTCTGTTCCTACTGACCTCCATTTGACTTACTGTCCAAAAATCGATTCCTAGGTGGCTCAGCTGTGTGTGAGGCCTTGGTGTATGGCATTGTCCAACATTATAATGAATAATTTGGCAGGCTGTTTGAAGAGTCATTCTTAATTGTATCAATGTTCGTCCAACTACAAAGCACCATTTAAAAGGACACTCTAAGCCCCTGCCTACTTTAATGGTCCCAAAGCTTCCCAAAGCAGGGCACAATTCCCCCACTATGCCAACATGCTAATTTAATTTTAACTGTATCAACACTAAACGTCCTTTGTCAATCCATTCCTACATTCCTATAGCCCAGTGCCAATGGCATAATATTCTGTGTGACACGAGGGGAGAACCATATTTTATTTTTCTTATATTTACTGAAAAATCTATATGCAATTTGTAGACAATGGTCTATCCTCTGTTATATAAAATAAAGTTATGTATCCCATGGTAGGTCTTTAGTGAGAGATAAAATTTGAAAGGATAACTACACTGCAAAAATTTAAATACACGCATTTAATACTGCATTTTTCATTGGGAGCAGGGCCGGACTGGCCCACCGGGATACCGGGAAATTTCCATGTGGGCCATCGGCACCTGGGGCTGGGGAGACAGCTGGCTCTTCTGGTGGCCGCAGAGGGAGCTGGCTGTTCTGACTCTTCTACCCCGCCCTTGAGCCCTACTTAATAAGACTGGGGCCGGAAGATGATGTCATATTCCGGCCCCGGTCTCATTAAGATGCGCGCTGGGGAGCAGAGACAAAACAGTCAGCTCCCTCTGCGGCCGCCAGAAGAGCCAGCTGTCTGCACACAGGTAGCAATTATGTGTGTCTGTGTCATGGTGTGTGTGTGTGTCTGTCTGTGTCATGGTGTGTGTCTGTCTGTGTCATGGTGTGTGTGTGTGTCTGTCTGTGTCATGTAATGTGTGTCTGTCTGTGTCACGGTGTGTGTGTGTCTGTGTCACAGTCTGTCTGTGTCATGGTGTGTGTGTCATGGTATATGTGTGTCTGTGTCATGGTGTGTGTGTGTCTGTCATGATGTGTGTCTGTCTGTTTCATGGTGTGTCTGTCTGTGTCATGGTGTGTCTGTCTGTCTCATGGTGTGTCTGTCTGTGTCATGGTGTGTGTCTGTGTCATGGTGTGTGTGTCTGTGTCATCGTGTGTGTGTCATGGTGTGTGTCTGTCTGTGTCATGGTATGTGTGTCTGTCATGGTGTGTGTGTCTGTCTGTGTCATGGTGTGTGTGTGTCTGTCATGGGGTGTGTGTGTCTGTCATGGTATGTGTGTGTGTGTGTGTGTGTCTGTGTGTGTTTTTAAAAAATAGTGTTTTTACTCACCTCCCCCTCCTCCCCCCACGTCGTGCTGGTCTCCCCTAGACTGGTCCTGCCTCTATGGCTGAGATCATCAAGCTTGATGATCTCAGCCAATCCGCACTGACACAGGAAGCACTTCTAGTGACCGTCTGAGTGTCTGTCACTAGGA